AAGCAGCAGAATGTGAAACTCGATATGAAACTCGAGGTAGGGGAAGATGTGGGACTGCAGGCGGCTGATGGTCTTTAGGGTATGTGTATATCAACAAGGTCTTTTCGCTCCGAATGTTGAAAAGAAAGATTCTCCTTCCCAAGCATCGACGGTAGCGGATCTTATAAGATTCATGCGAGCAAGAAAAAGAGGGGAAGATTTAAAAGCAAGCAAGATGCACAAGTCCGACTGTCCTCCACTTCGAGAGATATCACAGCCAGCACCGGGATGCCTCGTGAGGCAAGATGTGAACAATCAGTCGAGGTATTAACCATAGGCTCAGAGGGCACCAAAACAGAGATCAGTACCGCCGACGAGTGCTGTGCCGCATTAGAACGTAGGTAGACCCATGAAGACTCGACGAGAGCCTATATTTAAGCGCTGCGGACTCAATAGTCCAATGTTGATATCCATATTCCGCCCCCATCCCTGACCGGGGGGCTCAGACTCTGCATGGTGAATAGGAATTAAAGTGAATCTATGAATTCAGACCCACTACAACGGGCCAAAGGAAAAAGCCGAAAAAGCCGAATAAAAAGTAGAAAAAGGTAGAAAAGGTAGAAAAGGTAAAAGAAAACGTGTGTTGCTTAGGGTTGTGGATGATCCTCCACAAAAGAGACAAAGCGTAGCGCTTAGAGCTTTTGGATAGAGATCCAGTGGATTATGGACCCTCCATTAAAACCATAATATCCATAATATCCATGTCCATACTAAGTCCATCAATTATAAAATAGATCTTTCATTTTTTAGTTTCTTTCAGTTAAGACATAAAAACATTCAACTGCCCCCAAAGCCGATAGTTATGGCCCCATCTCTTAAAAAGATGTTCTACAAAAGTCAGCCTCGTTGACAGCCTACCCTACTCTAAAATTGTTTCATTTTGGCAGCCCCCACGAGAAGAAAACAAGAAAACAAGAAAACAAGAAAACAAAAGAAGAAAAGAAAAACCCCTCAAATTTGACCCTAAATTCCAACACACCGGTTGTGGGAAAGAGGGAGGGATCACGATCCTCCATGCATTCTCACATTCTCCATGCAGAGGCGTTGTTCAAGACGGGCGCCTCTCGACTGGCCATAGATGATCTAAAATTCTTCTGAGGCTGAGAAAGACCCCACGAGCCGCTTGGTGGCTTTGTCCACGGAGAATTCATGACCGCTGGTTAAGCGCTGATGCAGACACCCAGTAAACCTCGATCATCTTCGAAGGTGCAGAACAACCTTGGAACTTTCTTTGTATATATATTTTATTTATTGCTTCTGTATGGATCGAGAAGAAAAAAAATTATTTTCTTTTCTTCTCCTTCCTATTACAACATAGATCTCAAATTCTCCACATTTCCAGCGGTCGTTTGCTTCCGGGGGGCAACTCGGTCAGGCTCTCCAAGCCACGTCGTTCTTCTAAGCGCCCAAGGAAAAAGCCAGGCGTGTCTGGACCTGAAATAATACGCCCATTTTCTTTTTGATAGATCTGCACACCACAATTCTAGAGAAGAAACAAAAAAAACAAAACAAAAAAAAACAAACAAACATTGCATGTGAGTTGATTGCTCCCACCAATCTTGGATAGTGTTGAACCAACCTTGAAGAAGGATAGTTCTTCTGGATAGTGTATTTGGCCCCCAATTCAGCTCTGAGGTTAGATACCGTGAGAAATATTATTAAGTTTACATTAAGTACTCATCAAATCATCTGTAACACAATATCCTCAATTCTATTAAGGACCTCTCGAACTACATTGTAACTCCAGATATGAATCGAAATTAACTCGGGAGGCTCTGAAAATCAACGTTCCTTTTCGGGAGCACTATGTAGACTACCCGTATTAACTACATGTATTATTGGCTATTTCGCTGCCCTTATATGGGGACTTCTATTATTTCTGACATTACGGAGTACCTTAACTATGTGATGCTCTGTTCAAGAGACGTACTTTGTGGGGGCCGGATTCTCCTTTGGGTAGCTCCGAGATCAATAGACAGCCCAGTAATGTAATACTCTCGGGGCTAACCCAGAGGAGAGTGCCTCCATAAAAGCGGCCGCTAAGGAAAAAAAAGCCCCCAAACAACTGATATGTAGAACCAGTTAGTTAGTTAACCATAGGTTTGTTTCCATACATGTGGACTGAATCAAGGTAGGACAGGACTACTAACTATAGACGTAGAGACTAAAGGTAAACTAGGATCCATAGCGGGCTACTAGTGACATCAAATGACACCAAATAACCCCCGGATAGCTTCATGAAACGGTGTAGGCTGAGCAAAAATGGCCCCCATAAATTTGGGGCCAGAGCACGGAATGCTACATGTTCTCATTTCCAATTTATATCACAAAAAGTATCCCGAAATAAAAAGGTGGGTATCAAAACTCCGGGAGATGACCAAACTATGTAGAATGGCAGCGGATCTTCCCGTGTAACCCATTTAGAGCTCAAGGCTCTGCACAACATCCAACCAAGACATACATTGAGGCCATGCTGTGACCGAAATTTGCCCCTGGCAAATCATCACTTAACGGGGATTGCTCACCCGGTGATCTTCAATTTCGTCCTCGTCTCCCGAAAACCCATCCAAACTATCACCATGAGGATGTCCCTTATTGTGACCGTTGGTTTCCAGGGTATCATCAGCTGCGATGGAAATACCACGAGCGCCCCACCGGTTGTGGTTCGATTGACCATCCACTCCTTCCTCCTCATCTCGAAGGTGTTGTTCTTCGTCTGTAGAGACTCGCGATGCCCGGAAATTCACCACACGATTCACCAGCCAACTATTCCCATAGTCCTCGGAGTCGACGACACCGCCATTGCGAAGCTTGACCCGCTGGCGCGAATAGTATACCCATGCAAAGTCGACATAAAAGGCAGTCTGTACAATGCCAAACACAACCGCGATCCAATCATTGAAGGGCTCCTTGTTGAAGATGCGGATTATCCAATTGAGGATGTAGAATGCTCTGTAGGAGCCCAAAGCAAGCAGGTAATATGAGTCGATCACCGTCGGGACAGTGGTCTGGCGAAGGAGAAGGAGCTGCGGCAAAACACAGACAGACTCAAGAATAATAGAGAAAGTCCAGCAAAACTAAATGGTTGGATCAGTTGAGTTGCGGATATGAATACTTGAGCTTTTCCGGCTTACCTCAAGGAACCATGAATTGTAAGGCTCGGCGTCGAGAAGCCAGATCGAGATAGGTGCCAAAACAACGGACCCAGCCACAGACCACAAACCGAGTTTCCAAGCTCGCTCCCTCTCTCTCGTCCGCGGGTATATTTTCATCATCAAGAAAATCAGGTATGAGGACGAGAGGAGATAGAAGAGCTTGAAGCAGACATTCCAAATGCCGTGCCACGTGCCGCTCTTGTATGTGTGGGGATCAAGTAGGTCAAGATAGCGAAATATGAAGACGACGCCGTAAAGAAGCTGCGTGAGGAGTGAGATACCTAAATCAAATGCCCGTGTCAGTAAGCTCTGCAGGATACCTAGGTAATCGGATTGATACAAGGGTGCACGAACCCTCGGCGCTCTTATTCTTGTGGATAGCCCAGAGTAGGACACATATTGAGCCTGCATGAGACAGATCTCCAATTATACGAAAGAAATTCCAGGTCACCATGGCTGTAGGGGTGTGATCGAACAATGAAGCAGTGAGTTGGAGACGCCGGGCGTGTGGACACTTGTCAAGCTATCACCATTTAAGGTCGGCGCCAAGTATCTGGCGAAATGGAAGAATCAAGTGGTGTCGAATAGATTGAAAAGAGAAAGGACTTATTTTCTGTGTATGTACGTCCCTCCAATGAGATTAACCTGCAGGGAGATGCAATGAGTGAAGAAGGTATATTGGCGCTGTTGGAGTGACTGGGGGAGTTTGTTATCGGCGATCCACATGAGCTTGGGCCGCGTGTCCTCCTCACGTGAGGTTGACGTCAGCGCGGTAAATCGATTGGAGTAGTTGGATGACGAGAAATAACTATAACTGTTGTATGTGATGAAGGAAAATAGTTGACATGATTGTAGATTCCTCAAAGATGAGATGCCAAAGAAGATGATAGCTCGTTATGGTAGGCATCCGGTTGTGGATTCTCTATATTCCAAGATAACTAAGGCTATTAAGTTTTTTGAAGTAGTATTTATAAATTAGATTGAGCTCTGTTGAAGCTTTTGCTTTCAGGTTTATGTTTTATATTATCTACAAGCAGCTACATATTTTTGGATATCAAGTTGACCTATGGGTCATTTCCTAAAAAGGTAACACTAGCATCTACATATGTAGAATTTATTATGCGAATGCAGGTAATACTCGTAATCATGCAATTAGCCATCGAATTTCTAAAGCTCTCATTCCTGAAGGCCCATGTTTCTATTTTATTTCAAAGGTTATACCTAATGCGAAGAATCAATTTCTCGTTCACGTGGGATCTGAGAGATAGGTTCCACTTCCTCTCAGACAAGGTGTATGGCCATTGAAAGAATAACAAAAAGATAAACAACTATCATTGGGAGAGGCAAAGAAAATAAAAGGTCGGAAGGCTAAGACATTTCTTAGAACAATGAGGACATATGCCACGTGCAAAATATCCAAGAGTATACAACAATGGCCCTGTCCTTGGTTCAGAGACTCTGAGTGAGAATATCTACACCCAACAAAGGTAGGGCGACACAGTCTGATCATTTGGTATACGCTCCACTGAGACAGCGAAGCGATATAAAAGGAATTTACCAAAGACAAAGGCTTTGTGTTTTGTGTACAGAATGAGATCTGAATCAGACCGTTTCCTCTGGATAGATAAAAAGAAAAAAAAACACAAGAACAGTGACTCCCGTTTGGAACTAGCCTGGAAAATGAAAGGCAAGTTTTCCAAGGTCCCAGACATAGACTCAATCTGTTTCTTCGGTGCTTTGCATAAGAAGACAAGATGGGAAGCAATTTAACCATCATTTCCAGGAAGAAGACCATCCAATTCCATCATGGATACTCCAGACTTTACAATCCCCGACGACAACCCCGTCAACGACGCTCCTAGCGAGAATGTCCCGAAGATCAAGAAGAATCGCCGCAGCCGCTATGACCCAGAGCCCGACTGGTCGGCCATGGTGCGAGCCAAAGTCACGAAGTCCCAACATCGTGTCGGCCAAGCCTGTGATCGTTGCAAGGTATGTCTATCATATTCCGATATCACGTTGCCTTTTGACTAAGTACACTATACTGACGCATTTGAATTGATATCTAGCTCAAGAAGATGAAGTGCACCCCCGAACCTGCAGGCTGCGTCTGTTGCCTTGCCCTCAACATCCCATGCAAAGTCACTGATCGTGTCACCGGCGAGACCTGGGTGCGTGGTGAGGCTGGACGAATGCGAGCTCTTATCGATGATCTCAAGAGGCAGACCGAGGACCTGAAGGAGCAGATCGCACAGCTTCAGAACTGTCTGAACAGTTCCTACAGAGACAGTCTCACGGATCACTACGAGGTATATCTACATTCTCCTCTCCTCTGAAACCTGCATACTGCATTGAAATATCCACGTTCCGATTCTTTATCTTGGGGTTTAGTGCTAACTCAATTGCCAGCCGGACCTCGACCTTAGACATCATCACCATAGCCTACTGTGATTGTGATGCCTTTTCCGCCAGTGCTGTATTCTAGACTATTCATCATGCCTCATGGGTTTGGTTTCCTATTTGAGCCCGTCCTGTTCTGTCCGAGATGGAGCGTATGATCCAGAAAATGGGAATGGCACATGGTGGCAAGATTTGTTGTTCGCATAGTGGACTTTCGTCTTCAGCCAAGTAAACGGTGAGATTTCTTTTACAGTAGATGGAGAAAAGCAGCCTGTCCAAAAGGACATATCAATGGGTATATGTAGTGGGAGCATGTAATCCCAATTGGCGCACCAAGTATCCAAAATAGAAATGCAATGCACTCGCTCTTTTACCAACTGGCATTCCTTTTCCAACAACAACAAATTCCTTTGCTTTCACACCATTCCCTGACAGACACAGTGCCAACCTCACGATCCTCGCCCACAAGTCCAAGCCCCTCGATATTCAGCCATGCTGTGAAATCTTCTAGAACAATAGGGTCGTACATGAGGATCTTTTCATGCCATGTCGGTCGACTACGGCTACCGCACGATGATGACAGTGGCGAGAGCCGAGGCTGGACGCGAACAGCTTGAGTGATATTTGCAGATATTTCGGCCAGACTGATTTCTTTAGAGGATTCTGCTGTGTGGGTGGCTGTGGTGGATGCAGAGGATAATGGTCTTTTGACTGAAATCTTAGAGGAAGCAACCTTCTGCTTGGTCGGACTTGGTGGTGGTGTTTTTGTGTGGATATCCAAGGAGTGGTGCACCTGGCTGCCTGTCTTGGCTTTTGAATAGATATCGGAATAGTGCTTTTGTACTTGACTTGGAGAGGGGATGATTTCCTCCTCCGAGTCTTGGATCTCTTCTACATCAATGAATGATGTAGAGGTTCCGGTAATAGGCTTCCCCGTCAAGGTTTTCGTTGGGCTTGTCTGGAGATTGGTTCGCGAGGCAGAAGTTGATTTTGTCCCATCAAGTGATTTTCGGTTCTTTGTAGATCCAGATTTAGACTTCGCTGTCGCCTTCTTCTTCGCAGCTCCGGTGGGCTTGGGGACATTGTCCACTTTAGATGCAGGTTCTTTGTGTTGCTCGGTTTGGTATATAGGCTGGCTGTCAGAGGTAGCATTGCTACCATGCTTCGATTCCCAACATTGTTGAAGGAGATCAATCATCTTCTTGCGGCCCCTGATTGCCTTGAAGCCATAAGTGGAGATCTGTTTAGACAATTCGGCGTCTGTAAATCCCGTATATTGTGGCATTGAGGGCGCCTGGGAGGCAGTTGGTTGGGAGCAAACCGCTTCAGTCGGGGTATTATTGGCTTCTTTTGCAGGCTTCGCAGTTTTGCCCTTGGTCATGGTCGTAGCTGCAGCTGCCGGAACCGGAGCTGGAGTTTGAACCTGCGTGTCTGAATCCAAGCCCTTTTCGGTCAATGGTAGCGACGATGGTCTCTTTTCTGGTGGTGAATCTATGTCTGCGAATTCAAGGTCAAGCCAGTCCTTCTGAAGAGGCTTTGGGGTTGCTTGTTCCGCGCTGTCATGACTCTTTTTTGCAGTAGGTTCTCCACCATCCGTCAAGTCAACCACGCTTAGTGTTTCTGGTTGAATCAAAGATCCTTCGGTGTCTCTGGCGCCAACACACCACAGATTCCTGGTGCCTGCCAACCTTGATACAGAACGGGTAGATGATTCTTGGATCGGCCTATGGTCCTTATCGCGCGTTCCCTCTGGATGCGAAAGACCTTCGGAGGCGCGGATGGCTTGCTGAGTTTCTCGTAGAGTCTGCGGCGAATCATCTCTTTCCAACTGACTGCAGGTGCCAAATACAAGATCTTGATCATTCAGAAATTCGACAGCCGCTTCCGGGGAAAGTACAGTGAACGGAGACTGTTTCTCTGTCTCTTTGGCCGTTTTTCGTTTTCCTTTTGTCGTTCTGATGCCCGGAAGGCAATCAATCACCAGATCATCCTCTTCTACGTCATTTGTTGAATATTGCGCAGTCATGCGCGCCGTTAAGGTGGTAAACCTCTTAGGTTTACCCTTGGCAGTTCTTTTGGGCTTTCCTGAGTTCTCTCCTTCAGCAGATGTCTGATCAGTTGAATCAGAGCACCTTCCATTGGATAATGCTTGGATTTCAGGATTGACCAGCTCTATCCGTCGACGCTTTGTTGGTCCTCCGCCATTTGCATTATGCACAAGGTCGCGGGGATTCAAAGCTAACCCAGAGTAATTATAATCGGATAACAGCTTGCCAAACCCACGTGCAAGGTTCGGATCACGATCTTTATCCTGGCTTCCACCATCGTTCACAGTAGCGATTTCCTCATAATCGCAAGCAGTCTCCCTTGGTGGTGTCCAGTCCATCCTTCTTCTTACTGCCTCGTCCAGATGCAACACCTCATCCTTTCCTAAGGCATTGGTTTCCTTGGGAGTAGATTTCCCGGACACATCCTCCGAAGGAGATACTTTTGTAGCAACCGTCTTCTTCCCACCTGTGCTGGATTTCTTTGCTGGTGGATCGCCGCTTGTCTTCGTGACTTTCCCGGCCAGAGTCATATTCCCTGCACCGTTGCTCTTGGCATTCTTTCGAGGACGCCCTTTGGTCGGTTTCACTGCGTCAATTTTTGCGCCAACAGTCTCTGGCTGGGGGTCCCCAGGCGCAATTGCTTTTAGCCCATCGACGGCTTTCTTCGCCTTCCGCCGCGGTTTGCTCGGTACGGGTTGGTTGCTGGTGCTTGAAGTAGGATCCTTCTTTGTCAATCGCTTTTTAGGCTTCGTCGCGTCCTCAGGACACTTGGTGCTCGCAATTGGAGTGGGAAAAAAACGGGAACGTGTATGAGATTGAGCCAAATCGGATGTCGAACGTATTGGCGGTGGCGTTGCACTTCGTGGCAAGACGTGAGATACCGGCTTTGCATCATGCCTACCCAGCCTTGGCGACCGCGGTGGATTTGGAGAGGACGATAGAATGATTACATCTGCAATGCTGGCCATCGTGCCGAGTCGCGTCTCTGGGTGTTTGCTTGATTGATCAGGGCGAATCGCGTGTACTACTTAAGCTTACTATATCGGACATCTCCTAGGCAACGTTTGAACCGAAGGGAAGACAGTATAAAGTGTATGCAAGTTGGGTATGCTGAGGAAGGAGCGGTTTGGAGAACCAAGTTCAATGTTGCGATGTAAAACGGTCGATCAGCCGCGGTCTTGGCAAACTTATCGCATTGCTGTTTGACTACATAGTTCGGCCGGGTAGCCAACTGCATTCAACTCCAACAAAGTGAATTTATATTAAATACATTTACACTGAATGATTTATGGGGTTAACTAATTCTCCATTCGAATGACTGTCTTTTTTATTGCCCTGTATAACACTAGACAAATAGACAGTATCAGAGGCGTCGAACTAAAAAGACATGCCTTGCGCCTCTGGAATAATTAATTCAATTCATCATTATCTTGGCTTCGTGCACTGTCTCGAAAAAGAGATACGGAGTGTTCTTTGCTCAATCTTGGGACCGAGGAATAGTAGACCTCAGAAAAACCATGGTGATCTGCTTGTGATTGATGATGGGCATATTCTCAAGTCGAAACCAATGTAGCTCAATATATCCCACACTAGAGAGCAACAGCGCGAGCTTAGAGAATGAATGCCTTTCCCAGAGCAAATTTCAGGAATTCTGGGCACGGTGAATTTGTTGCTTGATATAAGAAATTGCTCATGATCCCCTCAAGGCGATTGCACTCAACAAGGAATTTTCGAGTCGTTGCTTAGCCTCATCATTCTCCTTGGCCGTTGGTGAAGGCAGGGCCCCCAGCTTGTATGCTTTCTTGATCTTGTTGATATCAGAGATTTCGGAGAGCGTCTGGTCATTGAGAGGCACTGGTGTTCCTTGAACCGAACTGTCCAAGTGGGCCGCAACGGATTCATGTGTTATCTCCGGAGAGACAGAGACCTTGATCACCAACAGGTCTTTGGTCGAATCGGCAATACCGAACCTACGGAACGATTCGGTGATCTAAGTCCGTGTTAGCCCCGGCTTTAGTGGCAAAATTGCAGCTAATTCCTATAATTGGCAACCCACATTATTTGTAGGGTTCAATGAGAACACGATCTCGGAATGCACATTATGAGACTTCAGTCGATTGTGCATGTAATCATTAACTGCTCTGAATACTGCAGCCGTGGCGTGAGCCCTTGACAGAACCTGTCGCTTAGCGTTAGTGGACTAGTTCTTTTTCTTAATTCTCGAGGACAACCCAACGTACCATGCTTGCATCAATAAATGCATACTCGAATTCTTTTTGACCGGCCAGAAGTTGACCTTTCAGAGAGGCAGCATTTTGAACATCGCGATATAGAGCAACATGCACGGGGATCAATGGTAGATGTGGCAGGCTAATCGTCTCTAGACTTGAGGCCATGACTGAAATCGAACTAAAAACGAATCCAAAAGAAGATGACGTATTTGTAATCAGGCCGATCTAATAAAAGAAATTGAAGTGAGCCTTGAAGTTCACTATTGAGTCCACTGTGAGTCTACAAACCCATCCCACTTCTTGATTCACGTGACTCATTCTGGAATTTTCCGGACTTAAGCGGTCGCAGGCGGAAGGCGGAACATGAGTAATCCCCTCTATAATCACCCGTGGGTCCGACATTTAAACATCTCATTCTTCTTGACTTTCGACACTCCCCATCACAAACATGGCTTTCTTCCTACGGCGCCCGTTCGCTGTATCCTCGGCGCTTCGCCAGGTCCCTAAGCTCACAAACACCGCCCGATTCATTCACAATTCTCCCATCAAGCCCACCCAAGCAACAAAGCCTCAGGGCGTTTCGTCCTCGATCTTCGCCAAGTCCCGACAGAACTTCCAAAATGCCTTCCGTCGTACATACATGCAACAGAGCTTCAACCCTGCACAGGGTGGCACCATGACCCAGAAACTGCTGTATGGCGCTGCCATTGTTGGTGGCACTGTTCTGGCAACCAACTTCATCTTCAACCGTGAAACGAGAGAGGACGGCGGTATGCCCGCTTACGAGCGGAGCTTCTTGAACGAAACCTTTATGCACACTGGTCTCGGTATCGGTATCATTGGTGTTGCTGCTCGCGCCCTCCACATGAGTGGCTGGTCTTATCGTCTCATGGCCATGAACCCGTGGCTCGTCATGGGTGTCGGTCTCGTTGGCAGCATCGGCTCCATGTACGGCACTTTCTACACTTCCCCGGATAAGTAAGTCTTTTGCCTCTTTTTTTTTGGTTTCCTAAGAAAACAAAATGAGCTAACTTTTCAATTAGCTACGTCATGAAGTATGGCTGCTGGACCGTCTTCAACCTTACCCAGGCTGCTCTTCTGTCCCCCTTGATGTTCATGAATCCCGCCATTCTTGCTCGTGCTGGCCTTTACACTGTTGGCATGATGGGCTCAATCGCCTTTGTCGGTGCCACTGCCAAGCAAGAGAAGTACCTCTACCTGGGTGGTCCCCTTCTTGCTGGTGTGACCATCGTTGCTCTCTCTGGCCTCGCCCCCATGGTCCTCCCCGCTACTGCTGTTCGCACTCTGATGTGGTCTGAGCGCCTCTGGCTGTACGGTGGTCTTGCTGTCTTCGGTGGTTTCACTCTTTATGACGTGCAGAAGATTCTGCACCATGCTCGTCTTGCCGAGCGCGGCTTGATCAAGCGTGATGTGGTCAACGAGTGCGTCAGCCTCGAGTTGGACTTCATCAACATCTTCATCCGCATGGTCCAGATCCTCGGCATGGGCAACAACCGTCGTTAAGCTACTTTATATCCACTGTATTAACCGTGCAACCTGATCTCGTGTTGGTCCAACATTAGAATTGGTGTTTCTTTTTCTTTTTTTTCCCCTGTCATTCGACAACCCTGTATTTGAACCAACCGTTTATCTTTTCTACTTTTTTTTTTTCTCTTTAACTTTGATGCCTCTTCATATGAGCAAGCGCAGTCAATCTCTGTTTTCTACTTTCTGAGAGACATAACAGACAGGGTAGCGAATACAAATCCCCACTCCCTTGACACTTTTGCATCCAAACACATAGTTGATAATTATTTGAGTCTACAATCATCCGGCTTTGGAAGAAAAGAAAGAGGCTACAAGCCGTCAAAGCAGAAAGGGACAATATCAATCACCCACTAGTCGACTATGTATGTGGAAAGGTAGTGTTTAGTTCTAGATGAATATGGGTAGCCATATCAAGTTCCTGGCAGAGATTTAAGACCATAACTCGCTTTATCCAATATTATTATACTACGTAGCTTTTTTTTTTTTTTTTTTTTTTTTTTTTTGCTTGAATTAGACTCGGGAATTTAAGAAATATCATTTACATATTTATCTACAATTCTATTAGAAGCACCGAGCTAGAAAGGGCAGGTGTTGGTCATGTGATCGAAAGCTTCTCTTGACGGAGGAGGTTGCTCAATTATACCGCCCTCCGCCTTCTGCAGACTTCAGATCGCGATACAGACACCAGATTCATTGACCACTATAAACGTGCAGACTAAACTTCCCAACATCATATCAGCACAGTCGCACCAGTATTCTTGCTCTCCAACTTTACAATATGTCGAACGAGATGGAAATTGACCCTCCTGTCGCACACGACGACGAGGCTCCCGAGCAGTCGGACCGCAGTTTTGAGCCACGCACCCAAGGGAACGCGGTCGCCGTGCGCAGCATCGAAGGATGGATTATCATCGTATCTAATATCCACGAAGAATCATCGGAGGAAGATGTCACTGAGCTCTTTGCGGAGTACGGTGAGATCAAGAACTTCAGCTTGAACCTTGATCGGCGAACGGGTTATGTCAAGGTGCGTATCCTCAATGTCACAACTACCTCTGAAATATGGGAACTCTTGTCGACTCACATCCAATGAAACGATTGCTAACATCACTATTCCGGTAGGGCTACGCATTGATCGAATACTCCACTCTCCCCGAAGCCTGTGAAGCTATCCAGAACCTTAACGGTTATAAGCTCCTCGAACAGACCCTTCATGTCGACTATGCTTTTGTCCGCCCGCCCCCATCAGGCAAGAACAAGAATGGAGGACCAAAGGGCCGGGCTACTCGGAATCGCAGCAGAAGCCCCAACCGGAGTCGCAGCCCCGAAGCTGGCGGCGACCGGGACTAAGCTTTCTTAGTGGATGGGAACGATAAAACTTAGCCAGCATACGTTGCTGGTGATCTTCCATTTGATACCTGGGCTTCGCTTTTCTCGCTTTTCTTTTTTTCAATGCCTCCCGCTGTTTCACCTGAACCTTTGCCCGCCCTTTCTGCCAGAAGTTGTCTACAAATAATAGACATATCATCTAGTATCCGCCGACATGGCCTCGCTTCAGTCGAACCTGTATGGGTCTACAGGCCAAGTGTGGGTGTGCACAAAGTACATACACATGAGAGGTACATGTCGGCGCCACGATAGATTGCCATAATGGTATGGAAATCTGTTCTTAGTCTTTCACTAGAATCATGCTGACTTGGACTCAGATCAAATGCCCTTTGATGAAAATTGAAAATTGGTGTATGAGCATCTCGTCAACAAAGACAACCTCGGACCTCCAAGCTCAGCCTCTGGGAGTAATGTACATATGAAGAATGGTTTTCCTTAGTTACAAGTGACCTTTCATCACGTTCATCTGTCTTACGAATCAGTTCAAGACAAAATAAAAAAAAGGTACATCAGTGCTCAGTAGTGTAGTTACCATGTAGTATACTTACATTGGATCCGCATCACACGACAGCCATCAGAGTAGAGTTGATAAATGATTCTTGGACTCTTGGACTCTAGAGTTAGTATCGTAGGGTCAGAAGACTTCGATGCTTTTATGGGGTGGTAATAAGGCTCCTATGCCACATACAATGTGGATGTGCTCACCTGCTCAAGTGCACATGAGCAGCGGGTCTGGTGACTAATCTTAACCCTCAGACCCTGGGGACGGCCCCCCCATTTTCCCCGCATGGCGCATGAGGTTATCGCTGTTCTTCTTTTTTTTAGTCGTCATTGCCACTCCTTACTCTCCATCCTTATAGACTGACTTGGAAATCCTGTGTCTGGGGATCTGATTCTGGCAGGATATATTTCCTGAGGCAGAATGGCTCCCCAACACACACCTTTTACCCCCAAGGGGGTATCACGATCTCTATACGGTATTCTTATGTTTTGCTTCCTATCATCTTTAGCTGTGGCCAATGCGCTGGCGTATCCATCTCAGGAAGTTTTAGCACAACCTTCGGTTTCCAATACAATTGGTGATCCCTCGGGGAGACTGTCTTCGGGGGTGTCGAATCAGCGCCGGAAGGGTCGATCCACAACCCCATTCTGAATACCTTGCAGGATCTTATCGCCGCCCTGCAGGTGATGCAAGACAGGTACTTTGTGCTGTGGCAGGGCACGTGGCCGACTAGCATTGATTGGACTGCGGCGGTGTTGGGCACACACGTTTCGGCTGCGCTCTCGTCTCTAACCTCAGGTCCGCTTGGTATCCCCGACACGGATGAATTGGAAGGATTATCCTTCTTCAGGCTTGAGAATACCGTCAATCGGTTTTTCAGCCATACTTCCGCGTTCTACTTTGGCGAGAACTCTTTTAGTGTCAGAAATCAGGCCTACGATGACATGCTATGGGTCGTGCTAGGGTGGTTGGAAAATATCAAGTTCCAAAATCTTCACTCAGACCTTCACTATGCCCCCTCAAACGACAGTTCTGGGGAAGTTTGGTATGGTACCCAGTTCCAGACTTCTGCCGCGCACAGAGCACGTATATTTTATGAGCTCGCCTCCGCCGGTTGGGACAAGACCCTCTGCAGTGGCGGCATGATATGGAGCCCATATTTGATGCCGTACAAGAATGCGATTACCAACGAGCTCTATATCTCTGCAAGCATCGAGATGTACTTGTACTTCCCGGGGGATTCCATTGATGCGCCATTCCTTATCGACTCACAAGGCACACAACCCGCACGGAAGAAGCCGCACGATCCTCTTCATCTGCAAGCTGCAATTAACGGGTATAAATGGCTCAAGGACTCTAATATGACTGGGATGGGCGGTTTATATGCAGATGGTTTCCACATCAGTGGCTGGCAAAGCGCATCAAATCCCGGCTCACGACAATGTGACGTGCTCAACTCTATGGTCTACACCTACAACCAGGGAGTCATTCTCAGCGGGCTGAGAGGACTCTGGCTGGCCACAAATTCGCAAGTCTATTTGCGCGATGGTCACGACCTTGTTCAGCAAGTACTGCAGGCTACCGGATGGCCACATACCTCTAGCCAGCAGTGGAAGGGACTTGGTCGCGGAGGTGTGCTCGAGGACGCATGTGATTCTCGCGGAGTCTGCTCCCAGGATGGACAGACCTTCAAAGGGATCTTTTTCCACCACCTTTCGGGATTCTGTCGACCTCTTCAGCCGCAAGAGAAGCAGTTCCTGGCGGACGCGATCCGCAGAAATACAGCAGATGACGACTGGGCCGAAGTCTATGAGCAGCATATGAAGCGTTGTCGCACCTATGGTCCCTGGATTGAACACAATGCTCAAGCCGCTCTGATGACTCGTGACAGCGATGGCAAGTTTGGTACCTGGTGGGGCCGTTCATATCATCAGCTGGATGCCAACGAGGCCGTGGATAGCAGCAATATTCCGGATGGTGCTGTTGACTACCGCAACGCTGAATATGACCCCAAGTCCTCGACCGGGGGCTTCACGTCGAATGACTACAACGATCGTGGCCGAGGCCGCACAGTTGAAACACAGTCTGGTGGTATCGCTGTGTTGAGGGCCCTGTATCAATGGCAGTCCTATGATGCCCTGTGAACAAAACGAATGAAATGTTTTGGGGGTTGGTATTCTGGCGGTAAATAGACCGCAGTCATTACATCCAGAGCCTTGGGGGCTCTTTTGTACAACCTATACAGTCTACAATGACTGGGAATCATTATCATATCCTTCGGATTCAACATTGGCTTCTCAAGTCACAGGGCACAATATCAGTACCCATGTAGGCCTAGTTGCCACTATGTACAGCTAGAACTGCCGATCAAAACAGCATGCCTCACCGCTAGCTTTTTCAATCCGATCCTGCATGAATCTCACATCGAGTATTCATCAAATCTCCAACCATAATCACGTTACTACCGAATTTCCCGGCCAATCAGAGGCTAGATCTCGAATCTAAGATCCAGGGATTTTAGTATACTACCTAGGTAGTAAGTAAATTCCAAATTCTGTTATTTACTTTACTTCGCTTCGCTTAGCAAAATAATACCCTCCTTAGTCGTACGCGGCCTATATACGATACCTAAGTAAAGCTTATACCTTTTATGTAGTAGTTATTAGAATAAATAACTACCTAAGTTACCTAGTTAGGTAACTAGTCAGGGAAAACTACCTAAAGTAACTAGGCCGAATAAAGTTGATAGAATCTGCATGGCACCCTATTCGTCTGTCGTATATGGGGCGTATATTTAGGTTTCATTTCGAGCCGTCCCGTCCCGTAAGATAGACCGACTCCACTTTCCTACAACGTATTTACTCATAGTCACCATCAAACAAAAGGATCTGTCCACCATGGAGATGAGGTTATAGTAGAGCAAACTAGTAATGAAACCACAGTAATCTCTATAAATTCCACTATATTTTAACTTTGCAGGTATTACCTAGATCAATCCTCTGCAGCCACTTTACCGCTACTAACCCTGCTTTGCCTTTGCCACGGACCTGCTGTTGCTGCATATGTGTGTATGGTTCAGTCAACCATATGGGCTCTATCTAGCCTTCGAAACGACCTCTGAAAGACAATCAGTGCACGTCGCCCGATTTGGACCACCCGACCAGGTTATCTAGACTTTTGGATCAAGATTTGTTCACTGCCTAGATTTATCCAATTTTCTCACGCAATAAACTCTATTCGCGTTTTCGTCGCCGAGTCCCATTCCGCAGTCACCGATCCTGGCGCTCGTGGCGATCTGTTCTATTTTGAAGCTAGGCTGGATATCATGTGGCAGGTTATAGTTGGTCTGATTTAGGAGGATTCCATGTCATGGTTGGTGTGTAACCACCAAGAGTATAAAGTGTGTAACCACCCAGAATATAGAGCGTGTAACCACCAAGAATATACAGCGAAGTGGTAAGGGCAGCGTTGATCATAATGTGACTACGATGGTTTTGCCAATTCAGATCAACTTAACGTAGATGATGGCTTGTATCAGCCAGACCTATAAATCAAAGCATGTCTTATTGAGGTTAGAGAGTGTGAAATCAGAAGCCATTTTGAACAAGCACCTGGATTACATACATACCTTGGTTTATTTTTATTAAGAACTATGGAGCGCATTACACCCCAACAGCTCAGCGACATTCTTGTCGATTTTCTCGATAAGTTCTCTTATCAGGACGACGTCTGTCTTTCTAGATCCGATTTTCAAGCACTGCAAGACTATGCCTCAGCTTTTCTGCCCCATGACAAGAGGATAGTGGCAGGCATGAGCGAGTACGCCCACGCAACGTTTCCATTTCTACCACTCGAGATACGCCAAAAGGCAGTTGTCTACGACGCCTACCAAATGTCAGTTGATGACCTCGACTATGAAGAGCATGATAGCTTAGACGGACTGTGTCCCCAGTTATCCGCTCAGACTAAGATCCAACACCCCGTCTGGCAGGGGTTCTTTGAGTCCCTACCTGACTTTCTCAAATTCTACGGCCCCTACTGTCAAACTACCATTCTCCGTGGGGCTCTCGAGTTTATTCAAGCCACCACAGTGGAGCGCACTCTTTTTCGGGGTTACGCAGGCTCCAAGTTCCCCGACTACGTGCGGCGCATGTCGGCCCAGGGCCCCGTACAGGGCGCGGTGTGCTTCCCTGAGCAGGAATTTCCTCAGAAAGAGTACCTGTCTGCTATAGCATCAGTTGAAGCAGAGTTGGAGGATTGGGTTGGCACTGTTAACGATCTCTTCTCATTTTACAAGGAGAGTGATACGGCTGTCGACCGCATCAACTATCCACTGAATGTATCTGCATGCACTGGACGCGCACTCACAGAGGTACTCTGGGAGACCTCCGATATTGCACTTGCATGCAAGAGGCGCATGGAGTCTATTCTAGACTCTGCAGGCAAAGAGAGTGTCCGCCGCCGTGTACAGGAATTCCTCACCGGCTATGTTCGGTACCATCTCGCGTGCGATAGATATCGCATCGGCGAACTTTGTGAGAAATCAGGTGACATAGATCTTCTTGCATATTACAATATGAGCCGACGAGCCGTTGGGGCTTTGCACGGTCCATTTGTACCTGCGCACCCGAGCCATCGTAAACGGGTTGATTCTGCCAATGAAATGTCTGATACACTGGGTGTTACTGGGAAAGACCCATGGTCCTTCGCTTGGATGTGGACTTTGTTTACAAAGGTGTTGCCTTTCAGGCTATAGGGGGTATGGCATTCGTTCGCGTGACACGGAACTGTGTATAGTCTGGCCTAGCCACTTGTTACCTGGCATAGATAAGAAAATACACAACCATTGGTCCATTGTGAATCAAAAGAAAATAAAATTCGAAGGCACAGGGTAATGATAAACTTTCCTGTTCATTCTACGAGATTTGTAGATCACTATTATGTTAGTGTACTCTTAAGCCTCTGCCAAAGACCATCAAGACGTGAGACTGGGGAGCGCCCGAATACTAAACTTCCTACCAATCATCTCTCACGCAATTCCCAATACTAAATTACACGGCATATGCAGGATAATATACATCCGGTATAAAAAAACAATTAAATTGAACATATGGAGGAGTATAACGTGCTGACACGTGCTCCTTGGTAAAGACTTTCAAGAGTTCAAAGCGCATAGACGGAATGCAGATATTCTATTTGCCTGATTCTATGTTGTACACGTAGTAGATGTGTATGCCGCTGTCCCAAAACCTCTTCGTCAAAATGCATCGACGAGGTTTAGGTATGCTATTTGTCTGATTCTATGTTGTACATGTAGTAGATATGCATAACGCTGTCCCACAACCTCTTCGTCAAAGCGCGAGAGGTTTGGTCTTAATTTCAATAGAATTTGATACATCACACGCACACGCACAGAACAATTGTTGAATTGGGGTGCCCCCGAACTTTGCTTATCACTTATAGTTCAAAGAATAACTATTTAACGGCTCTGATTCCTAGTACACCTCGATTATTAAGGCACGGAACAAAAACCCTACATCCATTGCACAGCTACAGAGGTACGGCAAAATGAATAATATGGCCTTGCTAACACAGCAGGTATTTCTGAGTGCAGTGCATACCATTAGTGAACTCGCCGAGCAGGTAGTATCCCAGAGTTATCTATGGATAGCCACTGTGTCCACCTTGGTATTGTACCCAGCCACTCGGTCAATTACGGGCCTCGAAGTATCGATGCAATAGAGCTAACCGAGTGAAAGTTTCTGATTTATACAACATGCCATATCTTCTACAATCTCGTGTTCTCTCCGCTGCGGTCATATCCAGGTCCAAAACTATGGGCCATATCCAGCATACCATCAGGGATCAGCATATTGCGCGGGAGAAGCCACATAGATATGCTGAGTATGCATAATAAGTTTGGCTCGGTTCTTCGCATTGGTCCAAATGAACTGTCGTTCAACAGCCCGCAGGCATTCCAGGATATCTACGGATTTCGTCCAGGCAAACCACAGCTTGCTAAAGACCCAAAGCTATACGCCTCCAAGCTGAACGGTGTCCGCGACAGTATCGCAGGATATCTGGATAACGAATCCCATACAAGACAGCGTCGCCTACTGTCCCATGCTTTTTCAGACAAATGTCTTCGCGAACAGGAAGGAGTGATTGTCCCTTTTGTAGATTTGCTTATATCTCGACTGCGCGAGAGGACGCAGATGAATAAAAACGACAAATCTGAAGAAGACATCAAGAGCTGGTTCAACTTCGTCACATTTGACATAACGGGCGATCTAATGTTTGCAGAAACATTTGGCTGCCTAGAGAATAGCAAGCTGCATCCTTGGATCTCGCTTATATTTGCTACGCTGAAGGGTATCACATTTCTGACGGTGGTGAACCAATTCTCACTGCTACGGAAAATGCAAGACATCTGTCTCCCGGAATATCTAAGAGGCCAAATGATGAAGCATTTCAATCTTAGTGCGCAGAAGGCTGATCGCCGACTGGAAAAGGGAACAACTAGACCTGACTTCATGTCTTCCATACTGAAACATGGTTTGTGTGACGAGAAGGAGCAGTTCATTGAGGACCAGCCGATCATGAGTCGGGCAGAGATTCATGCAAATTCGGTTTTGTATGCCAACATTTACATTTATCCTATTCCTATTCATAAGCTGACAATGGTGTACGTGCAGTATAACTATCGCTGGAAGCGAAACGACCGCTTCACTTCTCTCGGGATGTGTATATTATCTGTGCAAAAATCCTCAAGCCATGGTTGATCTATGCAAAGAGGTGCGCTCCGCATTCTCCCAAGACAGAGATATCACATCAACAAAGTGTCTTCGCTTGAAATACCTCAACGCAGTGATCGAAGAATCCCTCCGCTTGTACCCTCCACTGGTCACGAACCTGCCACGAATCATCCCTAAGGGCGGCGATGTTGTGGATGGACATATACTGCCTGAATATGTAACTATATACATTTCTCATTTGACATAAGCCAGCAACAGCTAAAAAGAAACTCGACAGATAACTGTTTCCACCCACCACTACGCGTCATATCACGCCGCGGCCAACTTTGCCTTCCCAGAAGAATTCATCCCAGAACGTTGGCTGGGATCTGATCCGCGGTTTATCAATGATAAAAGAGATGTGGTGCAGCCTTTCAGTTTGGGGCCGAGGAACTGTCTCGGTAAAAAGTATGTCTTTGTTCCCCTTCTCATTCTTGACCTCGCCACTTATCAACAATGTATTAACCCGAGAGCAAAGCCTTGCCTACCTAGAAATGCGCTTGATTCTGTCCAAACTTCTTTACAATTTTGATATCCATATCTGCAAGGAGAGTGAAAATTGGATCGACCAGGATGTGTATACGATCTGGAATAAGCCGGCGTTGATGGTTGAATTGGAGGATAGAATGGCGTGATGTATCTGGGGTACTGTACATAGCTCGGTGGACATGATGGAAATTAGGACCCTCCGGATATTTTCCCTAAGTGTCCTTGAACTCATTTTCCTGTTTTACTTTTACTGCCATTGGGCGATCAAACAGATGTTGCGTATGCAGTCGTAGTAGTAGATGGTATATTTCATTTCATGGGGTGTTTTTCGATCATAGCTATTTCTTTGCCTTGTCACCGCTGCTTAAGTCTCCTAGACCGTCTTAATTACATTTTGGAGACTAAGTATCACACGTATTCACCACATCATCTTAGCTCTCAAAAGAGGGTGTGCAGCTACGATACGAACCGCGATCTACTCTGGACTTGATGCGCCAATTTGTTGAGTGCGCTTCCGTGTTGATTACTTGAGATAACCGGTTTAGGTAATTGGTATTTCTGTATAATTCTGCGTTATCAGAGATCGGCTTATATGGCGGAGTTAAGCTACATGGCATTGCAGTGTCGGGCAACTTTCATGCTCTAGCCTACAGTAATGTTCCTATTATAGTGCCGCAGCGGGAAATATAGTGAAGATTTGTGGAAGCTATATACAAGAGACAAAAGATGCGCGGAACCAAATCATCACCTCACAGCGAACAGTTACAGGTCTTGAAAGCATCCTCTATAGGCTGGGACAACTTCTCTAGGAACCTTGCGACACAATGCTATTCACTTCCTCTTCGCTAGTCAACAATATCAGCGATTGTCTTTCGCGCCTTGAGGGCTTGAAAGAGAAGATTGATCCTGTAAAGGGGAAGCAAATGATGAGAAGGCTCGGTATTCGAGCTTTGAAATGGCCCCTCAAACGCACGGAGGTGGACAAATCTATCCAGGATTTCGAGAAATACAAATCATCTTTCATTTTATCTCTGCTGGTTGAACAGAGTAGGCTCCTCCGCCAAATCGCTCAGGCATAATCGGCTTAAATTTAAATAGGATCTTCTTAAGCGGCCTTAGCTTAGGGTGCAGACCGCACTGGATGGAATCTAAGCCTCGACAAGCTGCCGATGGTGCGTGGTGCCAAGTTGAACCCATATATGGATCAACATGAGGATGAATGTCTCCCGGGCATAAGAACCGAGCTTCTGCGTCAGATCGCAGAATAGGCAGTGTCACTATAAGGGAAATGCATATTTTGGCTGAATGGTAGAGCGGGGATTGGAAAATCAACCATCTTCCGAACAATAGCAAAATCCTTCAAAGAGACGAAGCTCCTAGATGCGATTCTTTTTCAAGTGGGGAGAAGGGGAAAGAGGGAATGCTATGAAGCTTTTTTCGACGATCGCAAGAGAGCTACTAGTATATCTTCCTCAGCTGATTCCAGGTGTTTAGAAAGCACTTGACGACGACCCCGATGTTGTAGGTAAATCATGGAAAGAGTAGGTTGATAAGTCACTCCTTTAGCTCCTACGAAGATTAGAAGTGAGCTAACTTCTGATTCCTTCCTACCTAGTGATAATTATTGACGCATTGGACGAATATAAGGACATCCGAGTCATTCTCCAATTACTACCACAGCTACGAGGGTGCCTATGTACCTTTTGTATAGGTAAGTCATACAAAAGATACCTAATTTCTAGTATTTTGCATCTAGTGAAAATCTTGCACCTTCTAGGGCGCACCAATACCCGGCAGGTGTATTGGGCGCTTGGCACGGTTGCGCAATGAAAGATCATTCATGCTATTTTTGCCACAAACATGCTGTTCATGCTGTTCGGTGTGTACTTTCAAGACTATACAACATATAACTATGTAGTTACAATAATTTGAGACGATGTCAGACACGGTTCTACGACACACTTGGCAGATTGATATCCTCGGCTATATCATCGACATTGAACTCTATTCTACGCTACGCGGGTATCTTCTTCGGGCCATTGGAGGAAAAAAGATTATATTCGATTCTTCAATGCATGGAATAATCGGAAGCCTTCCACATACGTAAGGTAGAATCCTTCAGATCAGGCCTACTGCAAACGGCAATATTGGAGCGACATGCCTCGACATAGCTCACTAAAATGCTCGACTCTTAAAATTCTAGTCAAGATGATTGGACCTGAATTATGCATCGAAAAAAGACGGGAAGGTGACCACTTAGAACCCGGAGAGGGGCGAAAAAAAGAAGCAAAAAGAAGGGGGAAAATACCCACTCTAGCGTGCGACTAAACACCCTTGACGCCCCCTCCGTAATTGGGGAACGAAACGACGCGTTCGTATAGGTGGGGGGTTCGGGATAGTGTAGGGCACGAATCAACGAAATGAAACTAAACGCACTTGCAGATCGGCGGATACTTCGGTTTTGACCGTCATTCGGAATGATTTCCTTTGGGAAGCGAAAATGGAAATGTAATTTCAAAAGGTTTGATATTACGATGTGCAACTTACGGAGAATCCATGGGTGTCTCATAAACAAAGTATGTAATAATAGTTAACTAGTTAACTAGTTAACTAACTAGTTAGTTAATGGTTTTTATTTTATATTAAGGTGATCATAGTCTGATATTGATTTTGTCTTAGTTGCCCCAATGACCACGTTTTTCCTTGGGCTTAGCGGGAACCATCCGAATTAATATAAATGTGAACCAGTACAATATATGATCATTTATAACCTAAATACTTAATACTTAATACTTAAATATTTAAATACTTAAATACAATACAGTCCTTATCAACCTATTTTAGATTACGGGCCCAAAAGTATGTCACACGCCCCCACCTCATGGACTTCGGTGAAGAGGGTGTACGAGGTTACAAGTACTCCGTACACCTTTGGTAGTTACACATGTGTTCACGCGAGAAGTACTAGATACGGTATCAGGCCTGAGCGTAGAACTGTTCCCCCCTAGGGTTAAAAGTCATCTGACAACGGGATCCAGGAACGCATCTGGTTTGATAGATGAGGGGGTGAGTTGGCTTGTCACCGCATAAGCACCAGATTTAAGCGGGGCAAGAAGGAAGAAGTACGACTTGAGTATTGATATCTTTTCCTTGAACCACTTTTTTTTTGTGCTTAGTCTGATAGGGCTATATCTCGGCGACAATGAAAACGAGGGCGGAAGACTAGTACATACCCCCGGACCTTTGAAAAAAAAAAAAAGTGACGTCGGCAATTTTATGGTTATAGTATTGTCTACGGTATATTGCCGGGACCAGGCAGCATACAAAGTATATTATAGCAGCACTAAAAAACAATTTAAGATCGGCACTTATGATGGCACTCGGTTTCACCTCCTTTTCGGCTAACGGTCCATCGAATAGTAAGGAAGGATGTCCAAATCCATGGTAATGACTGATCGTCTGAAGCCCAAGCGTTGGGCGCACATTGGTTATGAGGGAGTGGACTAAGGACGGGAGATGATGAGTGGTCGCGGGATATTACGACAGGCCTTAAGTGCGGAGCCAAAAAAAAAAAAAATACTGAAGTTAGTCAGTTAGTTTCTCCGATTATTTTCAACTTTGAATCTTTGTTTCTTGTATTTGGTTTTCTTTTCTATTTTTTTTTTTTTAGGTGGCGGTGGAGGCGGCTAACGAGGGGCGACGGGGATTTATGGTCGGATCTATTTTCCTGCCATCCAATATACTGTACATTTTATAATTTTTATGTTAGCAAGTGGACAATTTACATATTAGGACATCCTTGTTTGAGCCTTCAGGACCTGTACGGGGTATTGGTACGGAGTACTCCTTTGTTCTTCGGCCGATCTTGCCCAAGGGCGGCTTGTATCTACCCCCTTGTCTGTCACCGTACCGAGGAGAGGTAGAATAATTACATATACAACATACGTCGCAAAAAAAAAGGTGGTATACGAGGTTACAGATCCTCATTCTATAATATGTGTGGTTTATAACTACGATGTGTATATGAGGAATTACGTTGTAGGGGCCAATGATATTCATGGCGTCATTTGACTCTTGAGGCTCGATCGACATTGCATGGCCCCCTCCCCTGAAGGACGGGGGTATGGCCACATGCAATATTGTATATTATATAATACATTAGTTACTCTAACCAACTATAACTAGTTAACTAGTAGGCAATATAAGGTCGAATTTGATTATTCCTCAGGTTATGGCAAGGACATCTGAAAGACTCAAATTCCTAGAGCGAACAGACTGGGAATATAAAATAAAAGAAAGCATACATACTACTCCGTACAATATAAATCGACTTATGGAGTAGAGAGGTATTCAATTTCACAATACGTGTCAAATCAATGGCACACTAGGTAGCGGTGGAGGCAGAAGAGCGGAACCGGAGAGCAAGTGCATGCACAATGATGTACCGAGTACTTAATTGGAACATGGCGTCAATAGGCTAAAGCGGTGTACCGGGTACTTATCGGGAAGGTGTGTGTGGAAAGGGGAATCTAAGGAGCCACCCGTTAGTTCCTGAACGCCTCTCATTTCTAGAAAATCCCCTCTTTTTTCCTTTTTCTGTATACAACATATTCACCGGGTCTATTTTATTTTATTTATTTGTATAATTTGAAATTTTATATATGTTGTAACATATATTATATCGTATATTGTCTATCTACCAAGGGTTACTATTTTAATAATGTGCTACACACACACTATCTAGGACATTGGTAATATACATTAATTCATTACATAGGTAAAATAAATGGTAATACAGAACTTATAGCGAAAAAAAATAAAGGGAAATAGAAGAAAAAATAAGAAAAAAAGGTCATCTTGGAGGGATGATCCAAGGGACATGGGTTCCTCCACCTACTGAAAAGGTGCTAAGATAGACAATTATACTGTAGACTCCATAGGTACCCCTGGTTACCGCACCCGTCGTACCACAATTCAGGTCACTTTCAAGTAACTCTGCTGTAACGCCAATACCGAAACTCTCTTCCTTTTTCCCCCAAAGCTCTTTTCGGTTTTCTGACTCCCCTTCTCTCTCTCTCTCTCTGTCTCTCTCCTCTCTTTCTCTCTTCGTTCTAACTTCTGTCTCTTCTCTTTGAGTCTATTCCTATATCATCTCTAGCCTCGATCCCGCCTCTTTTGTGGCCAGCCTCTCTTTCCGGAAAGAGAGAAGAAGAAAAAATTTCCCCCAACAGACCTTCCCTTTGAACCCACTCCGGTTACCTTTCCCTCCCCTCTTCCCACCAATCTCGAATTGCATTCATCTCAACCCACGCCTTTCGAAATTACTCACTTAGTCAAAGTCGACCACGGTCGTCTTGAAAATTACACAATCCTCCTCTCCTACTCGACTTTTTACCGACCCGGTAGCTACCTCAAGCGTAACACAGATTTCTCATCTGGGGTACATCGCTAGGGGTAGACCGTGGTCGTTCATCAGCCGCCACTTTTTTTTCCCCCTCCGGCCTCTTTTTAATTCGCAAACCCCAATCGTGGAATCTTGATCATACCGCCATCCTGGACCTCCTTTCGATTCTGTGTGTCGCGAGCAGTAACCCTTATGGCATCAGATACCGAAATGACTGAAGCCTCCCCTGTTGACACTCTGCCGCAACCAAACGACGGTAGCCGCATGCATATGTCATCCCTCTCATCATCATCTTCTATATCCGACGCAGAAAACGAGCGTCGAGGCCGATCAGAACGTCCGCGAATGGCGAGCCGCAAACCCAGTGCTTCGATCCTTGTCCCTCGGGACCACCCCGAAATTGAAATCGAGGAGGAAGAGTTTCCCCCCGACGACGCCCGCGCAATGAGTCCACGACGCAATTCTGCTGATCTGGAGCGTTTGGGCAAGGAGGCCCGACAAACCCTACAGGAGTGAGTTCAAAAAGGCGTCTTAAGGCGTTTGGATACAGAGTTACGAAAATTCGACGATTTCGGCAGCTAATCAAGTGGATTTTTTTTAAAAAAAATTTAGACAAGCCAAGGCTCTCCAATCGTCCCTTCAGGCTCTTGCCGAACGCATCGATGCAGTCAAATCAGACCATGATAAGTTGGAAAACGAGAACAAAATCTTACAAGACTACATCGGTGGTCTCACTCGCAACATGACCAAGAGCGAAATGAATCGCAGTACGAAAGCACGCAAAGCACAAAAATAAACCGGCTTTCTTCCAAACAGATGTCGCAAGGTGGCCGGATACCTCATCCCGTGGACGTCAATCGGGAGGGATCACCTGTTGTTTTGCGGCAGGGGGGGCGTTCTATGCGTTGCATACGGTCACCGATTTTACCGAGATTCGAATTATTTTCACTTCATTACAACGAATCCCTGGTCAACGGATTTGTCTTCTCACCGCACATTCAAGCGGTCGCTCAATGAGTTACATGCCGAATGTCAGCATGTCACGGTCTCATAAAATAGCAGGGTTAGGGAATTCCTGGTTACGGTTTCTCTTTCGGCAAATGGGGTCAGCATTAAACCCGGGGGCAATCTTACGGTTACCATTTTCGCACACATCATATCTGCCACCCGACTGGTTCGAGTGGCCACCCTGGAACACACCACATCTCGGTTTTAAACGCCACGAAATCATCATCTCCACAGTCCCCCTGTTAAAACGGGGGGAGGGTACTGAACCGGGGGAGGCTGAATCCGAATCATTTACTCAAGGGGGGACTTCAATTGTTCGTGACATCACTACATGCCTGCTTGCACAGTGACCACCTGACTTCTTGGCATTTGAATTTCCAGTTCTTCATTACATCATCCTCAAAGTCGGTGTGCAACCTGTTTTATCCTATCTAATGCAGTGGTCCACTACTCTGCCTCTCTTCAATCCTGTCGATATTATTGGCTCCTTTTTTATCCCTTCTCTTTATTCTTCGCTCGTTTTCTTGGCGTTTTTCGATTTCTTTCTATGGTGGCTCTGTGAACACGTTTCACTTGTACTTTTTCTTCCTTTTTTATTGTCTTTCGATGCATAGCACCTTGGGCGTTTCGGGGACTGGGACTAGACTCGGTTTGATTGAATGGCTCTTGCTGGAGCATTGAGATGTTTCTTCGTCATGAGCATTGCATGGTGACGGTCATCGCCATAACAGAACGGCGTGGGAAGTGGAAAGCATCTTAGGGGTCTTTTGGAGCAGTCCATTTATCTTCTTCTCTTTCCTCACATGCCCTCTCGATATTCGGGAGGCTCTTTGTACATCTGCATATCGACTTTTTTTTTTATGTTCTGTTTTCTTCTGCTATCTCCACTGGACTGACTCGTGTCTTTATATGGGGAGACAAAAGATGCCACTTTCATCATTGTTATCATTGTGGCTCTATTTCTGCTTCCTGCTTCTTGCTTCTTCTTGCACTTGACATACCCAGGAGCGTGCATGTCTCAGGTCCTCCATTTTCCCTTTATTGTCCTCATACCCCTTTTTATCGACCCTGCGTGGCTGGTAGCATTGTGGTTTCGACCATAGCAATAGAAAATATTTCAATTCAGCCTGTCTTTTGTAGATCTGTATAAAATGCATAAAATTTCGAAGTTTGTTATACCAGGAGATAGATAATCCAATGCCATCCAAGAACAATGCTCGTCAAAACACCATCCAACTTGAATTATTCAGTCATTACAAGGAACAAATGAACAGACAGTATGGCATGCATACCAATCGAAGAAAAGCGACGATCAATCGCGATATGACATCGGCAGGCGCACATAAGCTCGATAGTGTCTTAACTAATACAGCCACTGATATCATCGCGGCTTCGTCCGCAGTACGCAGGCGTATGCACACCCCAGTCAAAATATATAGTACGGAGTACCGATTCCATTCTCCGAAACGAGACTAGTTTGTATTGAGGGTCTTGTATCTCTTTTGCTTTACATACCTATCCTGTTCAATTCTGTGGGGTTGTTTAACTATATCTTATACAGACCTTGCTGTACTGTTGGAAGGTCATGTGACTTCCGGTTGTTTGCTCCCAGTTATCATTAGTCTCTACATAGTCCGTAACTAGATAGTTATCTTCCTCCCCTTGTGCAATAATACAGGGATTTCCAGTACACCTTTCTATTACATATCTCTAAGATGTACATATTGAATTATATGGTACATACTCTCTCACTTGGATGTTAATTGGGTGTGGATATATATTTCAGACTATTGGAAAGTCCTCGCTTACGTCAATTAATTGTACTTATATTTATATTTAAATAAATGTTGTTGGTTGTTTATATACAGTAAATGATTAAATCGGTGTCTTCGATATCCTGATCAGTGGTCATGCTGCCAACAGGCAGGGAATGAAGATATTGTGTAAGGGAGTGTGTAACCAAGAAACAGGATGAGCTTATTATATATATACGTATGTATGCTCGCCTCTATTATCTGCCGGGCCTAGTTTACTTGGAACAAGACAGCGTGCTATATACTCTGCAGCATCCAGCAATAATCATAGACTTACACACATAGTCATCTATGCCTCAGCTACAATGATTCACAAAGAATTACCGGGACAATGTACGACAGATTATCTTCGAAACCACATCTAGTGAGAATCAGAACGCCACATGGCACATATACTGGGGGAGTGATCAATAGGAAAGGTGAAAAGCCAGGTTAGGGATCAGCAGGGATACCCTTGTTGAAGTCCTGATAAGGAACTGATTTGAGAAAATTCTGTATGTGTGTTGGGCTGGGAGAGTGCGCGCAAGGGGACTCTTCGGGTAGTTAAGAGGCAAAGTAGACAAAATAACAAGGAGAATGAAAAAAACGAAAAGAGGAGACAGGATGGATATTCCCCAGGGCAGAGAACAAGCGCCGAGTCAAAGCAGAAGGCAAGTAGACAAGTAGAAAAGATTCAAGGCAAAATGACAGAGCATCGACACCAAAAGGTCGCAGTATTTCTCACACCAAACCCTTGCGAGTCTCTGCGATACTATAGACCGACCATCGGGCCAATGCATCTCATCGTCATTTCCTCCTTCGTGTCCAAGCTATGTCCTTGCACCAGAAGACCCGTCGCGCGCTCTCCTTCTCTCGGTTGTTCCATCCGTCCCGAGGACGCGTGTCCATCAACAAGGTCTTTTTAGATGTTAATCATTTACTCGGCGGCGGGCTTCTCGGCCTCAGCGGCCGGGGCCTCCTCCTTCTTCTCAGCAGGGGCGGCCTCGGAAGTGGGCTCAGCCTCGGACGAGGTCCAGAGGGTCTGGTGGGAAATGCGGGTCAGCGTATGAACAAATTGAATGACCAGATGATTTAAACACTTACGAGGTTGTCACGGAGGAGCTGCATGATGAGAGTAGAGTCCTTGTAGCTCTCCTCGCTCAGGGTGTCGAGCTCTGCAGACAAGATATTAGCTTTGGCCCATGCACGTGGCAAAATATGTATTTTCACATACCAGCAATAGCATCATCGAAGGCAAGCTTGGCGAGGTGGCAAGCCTGGTCAGGGGAGTTCAGGATTTCGTAGTAGAAGACTGAGAAGTTGAGGGCGAGTCCGAGACGAATGGGGTGGGTAGGGGCAAGGTCAGTGGAGGCGATCTCGGTGGCAGCCTTGTAGGCCTCCAGAGAGTAGTCGGCAGCACCCTTACGGCGGTCGCCAATGGCGAACTCGGCAAGGTAGCGGTGGTAGTCACCCTTCATCTTGTGGTAGAAGACCTTGGACTCGCCGCTCTGGGCAGACTTGATGAGGTGCTCATCCAGAACCTCGAGGATATCGTCACAGATCTTGGCAAGCTCGGCCTCGATCTTTTGGCGGTACTCCTTGATGAGAGTAACCTGAGACTCGTTGCCCTTGGACTCCTCCTTCTGCTCAATAGAGGTGACGATTCTCCACGAGGCACGGCGGGCACCAATGACGTTCTTATAGGCGACAGACAGGAGATTGCGCTCCTCAACAGTGAGCTCAACATCGGCCGAGGCGACGACCTTCATGTTCTCAACCATCTCTGTGTCGCATTGTCAGAGGCCTGTGCAACTAAATGATATAGATTTAAGATAAACCAACCTTCATAGCGCTCGGCCTGCTCAGCGAGCTTGGCGAGGTAAACAGCGTCTTCGTGACCCATGGTGAATGTGTGTTTTCTACAGTCAGAACTAAGTTAGCCATTTTTTTTTCTCTCTTCCCTCACTTGAGTTTGCATCCTCAGATTGATAGTGTTTGAGATGAGGGCTGGAAATCACGCCATCGGAAGAGTGCAAGTAGGCGATGGCGAGGGGTAGATATCGATCCTCGACCACCCCCTTCAAATATACAGGGAAGGGCCCAGTTAATTTTCCATGAGTATCACGTCGAAGGTCTCTAAATCAAGATATTTGGACCAAAGACTAAAGGCCCCAGAAATTTGGTCGATCATGACGATCGTGGCGGTTACTGGGCCCTTGGGTCTCCCCGTATGTCGTCGAGGGGGTTATCGCAGGAAAGCGGTCGCGGCAACGGTTTAACGAGTAAACAAGGAGACGAGAACATTTGGTTTCACCGCAAATTGTGGCGCGATTCCATGGATTGAATTTTTGGGGGTGGGGATTGTAGTTTTCAGATGGTCTCTTTCCACCATGAATGTTGATATGTGTGGGTTTTGCGTTGATGACGGGGGGATGGGCATAGAAATAGGGCGAGGAGAGGGCAAATTCAACTCGGAAAACAACAGGAAGACACTGACCTGGTTTATGAAAGAGGAAAAGAAGGTGATTAAGGAATAGCGAGATGGATGAAAGATGGAAGTGAAGGAGTAGGGAGTTGAGAGAGAGGAGGTAGGAGGAAAGGAGGGGGGCAGAAGGCGGTGTTGTTGGGATTTACCTGAACAACCCACTTCGGGTTTTGTGTTTTTTTTTGTGAAATATCAAAAAAAAAAGAATGGCTGACTTGAGATTCACTTACACTTGTTCTTCTTTTGTTAATCTAATTTATTATTTTATATGGCCTATAAAATTGCCCAACCTATTACTTTTTGCCATACACTATACACAAATCTTCTCTCATCGCTTCTGTGTGGTTCGGTGGGCCTCCTACGGCGTCATCCCCCATTCCGCATCCGCCAATCGCCCGGGGGTTTCCTTACTTGCGCCTCATTCGAGATCACAAAAACGCAGACAGGATATGTTCGAAACAGTCTAGAACGAATTGGTATAAAGTAGGGCTCTAACTATTAGCCTATCTGTATTGTAGAAAAGTAAAAAGAAATACGAGGGAGAAAAAAAAACAAAAGTGTCAGCTATAATAGATCAATGATGTGACCAACCCTGTGATCCCTATGATCCCTGTGATCCCTATGATCCCTGTGATCAATGTAGTTGAAGTACCTAGTGAACTAGTTATTAACTAGTTCACTAGTTATATACACGAGCCCAAATAGAAAGTCGAATGAGAAGGCCCCGACTTATCAGAAATTTTTGTTCACATGATCTACACTCTGACATAAGCTGGCTCCTTCCGAATACCCATCACATGATGTTTCTTGGCAAGTAACGTCATTTGCTATAAGCTTGCCTTGCTTTAGTTCTCCTCGTACTTTATCAACTTCATCCTGAATCCATCTCAAAATCTCACTTTCAAATCCTCTACTATCTAAATCATCATGCTTCGTCAATTTGCCCGTCCCGCTGCTACTGCCAACCGGGCAGTCTTCACCCGCTCCTTCTCGGTAGCTGTCCCTCGTATGGGCGAAGGTGATACCGGTGCTCCCCGCTCTGGCGGTGGTGCCTCTTCTGGGTAAGTCAGATGCAAGTTGACTGCGAAAGTTACACTCCAAGTTCGATTACGGCGAACAGACAGCCCGATGTCTGCCTTGCCGCAGTGAGATGACATCATATCCGCATGATCATTAACATATGTCCCTACACTAGTGATGCATTCACCAAGCGCGAAGCTGCCCAAGAGAGCCTTTACATCCGTGAGAAGGAGCTTGAGAAGTAAGTTTTATAACGCTGAAAACAATGAGGCTGAAGCGGGGAGCTAATCGGTTTGACAGGCTTGCTCAGCTCAAGAAGAAGATCAGCGAGCAGCGCAAGCACTTGGATGAGCTTGAGACCCACATGTAAGTGCAAGTCTGGAAATACTTTCCCATCTATTTCCTCGTTCTGTTGTAAAGGGTATTGCTAACTGGCTTCTTTTCAGTGATGGCCTGAGCCGCTGATGGGCTCCGTGCACCCATCTTATGTTTAATATGAAGAACTCCTCCAATTGCTGTGTATAATACCATCTCCGCTCCAATGAGCTATCGTGCCTACCTGCTGCCTTGAGATCGTGTCGTTTTCAGCGCCTGTTCCTAAACATGACATCGCTCTGCCATAGCATATGGAGTTTCTTTTGTATAGGCTTAGTAGCTCGCTTGGAAATAGTATGTAGGAAGGCTCCGCACAATCAACTAGTGTTTATGTCTGTAGCCTTAACATACTACCTATATATTTTCACAGGAGATTTTCTTATTTTTTTCTAGATTATGTTCACGGTGTTTGGGAAGACCCCAACTAACCCGAGGAAATTGTCTTGTAATGAATGTTGCCAACTGTCTCCACTTAAAACACAAAGCGGAATAGTCTACGGAGTACTAGTTACCCGGCCCTGCCAATTAACTCGATGCCCATATACAACAACACCTGGGGTTGAGTTACTTGGCAAAACCAGGTACACTGAGGCTCCTTCCATCTGACCTAGACTAAATCTCCGACAAATACCCCCCCCATGACTCTCTTTATCCTACCAAACGAGCTTCTCCTAGCGATAGCAGAGACCCAAGACTGCCAAAAGGACATAAATTCATTTGCGAGAACCAGTCGTCGCTGTTATATCCTCCTGAACCCCTTTCTCTATGCCTACAATGCCCGACAACACCAAGGGAGTGCACTCCATTGGGCAGCAAACCAGGGACATCTAAGAACAGCCGAAGAATCACTCCGACAAGGAGCAGATATCGAATCGAGGCACAAGAAAACAAAAAAAACGCCACTGATACAGTCCGCTCAATGTGGCCATGCACATATTGTTTCATTGCTATTGGCACATGGAGCCAATCCGCACGCCAAAGGCGGCCAGGGGACCAAAGACCCAATCACCTCAGCCGTGCTTCGCAACAGAGCAGCCGTCGTTAGCATTTTGCTTGACAACGGCATTGATGTAAACTTGACGGGCTACAAGGGCAGCCTATTGCATCTTGCAGCTGAAAAAAGCCACAAGAGCCGCGAGGAAGTGGCGAGAGTTCTTATTGAGAAAGGCGCCAACCTGGAATCTACGAATGACGTGAAAGAGACTCCGTTGCAGGTGGCGTGTGAGTCTGGCTCCGTGGAAGTGGCCCGATGTCTGATAGAAAGTGGTGCCAACTTGGATGCACGGGGTATAACTCTACATGAACGGTCGCTCCTGCATCTGGCATCCTCCATGAATATCAACACCACCAAGTTATTGGTGGAGAAAGGAGCCGATCTCGAGGTGCGAGACAAGAATGGCGAGACACCACTGCATCTGGCATGCTGGTTTGGCCGGGTAGAAACTGCCGCGTTCCTGCTGGATCAGGGTGCAGATATAGAGGCAAGATCGTCAAATGGGAACACGCCATTGCTGCGGGGGTTACTCTGGGAGTGCAGTGTAAGCAGGGACCTGGGGCCGACCTCTATGACTGCTCTCCTGCTGGAACGGGGGGCCAATCCAGGACGGGGAAATAATATCAACATCACACCATTGCATTGTGCGACGTCGAAAGCAGATTTGGGGCTTTTTAAGAGATTACTACAGTATGGTGCCGACCTGGAGCCTAAAACTAGACTGGGAGTGACGCCGCTGCACAAACTAGCGTGTTCTGGCGCTCTGGAGTCTGCAAGGCATTCGTTGCAAAAAGGCGCTGATGTACAACCAAGAGATGGAGAAGGCAATACGCCATTGCACCTGGCAGCGCAGAAAAACGACGTGGAATTTGTCAGGTTGCTGCTAGATGCAGGTGCTGACCGACTGATCAGGAACCACAAGGGTCAATTGCCTTTTGCCTGTACATCTAGCAGCAAAAGGAACAGCTAAGTCAGAAGGAGTACAGAAATTTGCAGAAAGACAGAGAAAAGTGGTGGATCTTCTGGAGGCTCAGTCCGAGCATCAAAATTAGCAATAGTGACCAGAAGGACATAATGTACAATGAGCATCCGAGAAGAATTTGTCAATCCTATTGCATTGGATTTTACAAAAGTTCAAAGTGGTTAATCACAAAGCGCATGAAAAGCATTTGATTGTGACCGACTATTAGCATTCCCTGACTACAACAGAACATTCCCCCAAAGCACATCGAGGTGCCAAGTAGCCGATAACTCCGAGTTCAAATCATTAGAAACATCCATCCACCCCTTTACCGCCCTTGCATGAAGGAGCGGTAGAAATCATCAGCGGTGTTGTTGTTGCCCATACCATTGTTAGGATAGCCGTATCCGAGACGGGCAGAGATCGACTGGCCTGCTTTTTGGGCGGCGGCAACCTTGGACTGCAGGTCCGAAGTGCCTTGGTCGATGACCTGCAGCTGGGACAGGTGCGCGTTGAGAATGCGGACAATCTGCGAGATCTATAGAGATGCGTGAGCAAAAAGAATGTCCACAAAAAGGGGATAAGTCCTGGGTTGTGACGTACCGGCTCATCCGCTTTGTTGGTCTTGGTCAATGTGGATGAAGCACCGTTGACCTCTTCGATCATGCTGGTAAGATCCTTGCCCATTTCGTCCAAGCGTTCCGAGAGCTTCTCAGCCAGTTTGTAACTATTGGCTATATTAGCAAACCCATAAACATCAGATATTGTGTTGCAGGTTGTACTTACGTTGTCTCACGCTCCTGGTCAGGTCCTTGAAGGGACTCTCCAGGGCCCACCTGCTTGGTAACCATCTCGTCGACTTCACGCTCGTATCGATCCAACCATGAGCTGAGCTCATCCTGTTGACCTTCAACTGCCGACAATTGACGCTCAACCTCCTGGGTAGCTCGATCCGCATCAACAGTGCTGCCGTACAGCTTCTGTACTTTAGTACCATTGTCCACCAGCAGACGGTCCCACTCAGAAACCTTCTCCGCCTGCTCGCGGAAGTCCTTTTGATATTTGCCGAGATCCGTGGCCCATCGAGTAATGATCTCATCCATGGTTTTGTTCTTCAGACGTGACTGGGCTGGAGGAGCGGGCCCCGTGGTAGACTGGCCAAGGGCGGTGGGTCCAGCTGGAGCGGCGGCGGCGGCGGTTGTAGTAGGAGCAGCGGTTGTTTGACCGCCAAGGCCACCAAGGGGGGCTGAACTGGTAGAAGTCGCTGGCTGAGTGGAAGGCGTAGTAGTAGCAGCTTGGCCGAACAGACCGCCCGTAGGTGCAGCAGGTGTAGTAGTAGCAGGCGCGGCAGTGGCCGCAGCACCTGAAGTAGTGGAGGGAGCTGAGGTCCCAAACAGGCTTCCTCCAAGAGGAGCCGTTGCTGGAGTAGTGGAGGGAGCAGCTGTAGATGTGGCACTTCCGGTGGAGGGGAAAAGAGACTTTTGAGGGGTAGCACTCGACGTGGCGGGAGCTCCTAGTGAGAGAGTTGTGTTTGCGGTGGATGCAGGAGCGCCGAGGGCCGGGAATGCAGACTTCGGAGCGGAGTCGCCGCCGGGAGCAGCCGTATTGTTGAACAGAGAGGGTGTCTGCGAGCTTGGCGCACCAGCCGCGGGTGCAGCTGTGCCGAAGAGTGACTTGGGAGTGGTGTCTGCAGCAGTCGTAGGAGCGGTTGGTTCGGCTGGCTTGCCTGCACCGAATAGGCCGCCGCTGGGTGCAGCAGCGGTTGCGCCTCCTCCGAACAGTGGCTTGGTTCCTCCTCCTCCGAACATATTGTTAGATGGCTGCGCCTGTGAGGTAGCAGGCGTGGTAGATGATGGGGCTGCGGTCGGGGTAGTCGAGGCTTCGGGTTTCGCAGCCCCGAATAAGCTGCTGGGTGGGTTGGATGCAGGTGGGGGACCAGCAGGGGTGGTGGAGTTGTTGCCGAACAAATTGCTTCCCGCGGGAGCAGGGGTAGCTGTTGGGGCCGCGTTGCCAAACATACTCTTTCCGCCCGCGCCACCGAACAACGAGTTGCTAGCAGGTGTAGTCGATTCTGTAGACTTGTCGGGAGTCTGGCTGCCGGCAGCGGCACCGAAGAGTGAGTTGGGCTGCGTGCCAGTTCCAGATGGAGCCTGGCCGCCGAAGCTGAAAGCCGAGGTACCGCCGTTGGTCGCATTGGAAGCGCCTGCATTGCCGAAGGTTGGTGTGCTTTGGCCACTTGCCGTATTTCCTCCGAAAAGCGATGGCGCTGCGCTGTTGCCGGTGGCCGAAGCTCCAACATTACCGAAGAGGCTACCACTAGACGCATTGTTATCCTTCTTGGCGCCGAAAGCATTGCCTGCGGTGCCAAAAAGACTTCCGCTAGAGGTGCCAGTAGAGGCTGGGGTGCCGAAAGAGAACGCCATGGTGTTGGTGATCGAGCCCGAGGATTGAGAGGGAAAAAAGCTGGACAGCACCAGCGACACACGGAGCAGGGGAGGTGGGCCTGCAGAATGGATCAAAAGATCCAACAATGAGAGAATGGAGCTCTTGATCAAATTGATTGAGACAGAGAGCTTAAGGGTGGAATGAGAAAAGTAGGACAAGAAAGTCGAGACAATAGACAATAATAATTGGGAAGGAGTTTGGCAAGCAACGCGCTGAAATTCTTTTGCCTTGAATACAAGGCACTCATGTTGCCTGAATAAATTGGCCAACTTAGTGAGAATTGGTGCCTAAGGCAGATATGTTCTGGACTCACATCGATCGCAGGGCAACAGGTCGTCACTGCACACTGCACACTACACACGGCCCCATTGCATTTTCGAGTTGTTCATTTCTGTGTGCCCCTTTTTCATGTTATAACATCCTGAATTTAAGCTGCAATCATGTCGGAGGGGCCGTCCGATTTGTCTAGTTCGCATCTAGAGCCCCCCAACAGGACTACGGAATTGCAAGATCCAGGAGCTGGCGATAGTACATTTCCCTTGGATATACTTGAATATTTGTTTTGAAACTGACATTTTTCTAAGCAGCTTCTGAAAGCGACGATGAATATTTCTCAGACGCTAATGAAGGCAACCCTCAACTCCAGTCACTCCCACAATCCGGTCGCACTTCCCCTGTCCCACGAACACGAGTTGAGAGGGTTGACAGCAGCACCCAACATGGCGAGATTCCGGGCACAGCCGCCTTCGAAAAGAGAGAACAGGATGCAGTTCCCGACGAGATCGAGGTTATTCCAGAAGGTTCACACAGCCAGACACGTTCGCCCGCGGGGTCAGAGGACCAAACCTTGAGTCCTGAAGGCTCGCCGATTCCGCGCACAGTGGTCGAGAAGGTGGACCCTGACGAGCTTAGCCATGGCGAAGTTCCTGGCACGTTGGCACATGAACAGCGTCTCGCCGATGCTGTGCCCGACGCGGTGACCAAGGTTTCAGGTTCCGAGGGCAACCCAATGCCACCGGCACTCGGTCTTACACCTCCTGAGGTTGATGGAACTTCAACAGAAATTCCTGAGACACGGCTCGAGCGAGTGGATACAATACCCGCCGATGAAGACCTACCACCACACCCACAAGCCCATACAAGCTCAACAAGTGACACATTACCCGATGCGGTAGAGACCGTCCCGGATGTCCCAATAGATGATACAGACCTGGAAACCAAAAACCTCTCATTGGAGGATGACATGAACGACGACCACGGATATGAAAAACAAGAAGCGGGTGATGATTTTGATGAATTTGTAGAAGAGCAGGAAGACATGGGGGATGATGATTTTGGGGATTTTGACGACGGCTTCCAAGAGCCCAGTGCAGAGGAAGCTCCCGCAGACGAAACTGCAGCACCTCAGCAAGATCACGCACCTCCACCTCTCATTGACTTTGACACCTTCAAATCTACTTCCGAACTCCTCGATTCCCTCCAAGACACCCTCAACATCCTCTTCCCCGAATCCCAAGACATAAGCTCTCTCACCCCCGTCGAGCCAATCCCAGACTCCGCAGCAATCTTCAGCACCGAGCGATCCCTCTCACTATGGTCCCAGCTTGTGGCACCACCCCCTCTCCAGCCCCAAAACTGGGTGAAATCCCGCATCCGCCGATTATTCCTCGTATCCCTAGGCGTGCCCGTTGATCTCGATGAGATCCTTCCAGCCTCCAAACAGAAAAAGCTCGTTCTACCTTCTATTGATCTTGAAGGCACCGGCGCAAAGAGCCCCGGCGCTCGCTCTGCCAGTCAAGTCCGAAAAGAAGAAGGCAACGACAACAACACCGAAAAGGGACAAGCCCCCTCCCGCCAGAAGACTATTCCTCGCCGCGGCGCACCGCCGGCGCCGGAAATAGATCTCTCAGCGGTCCGCCGGCTGTGTGCCACTACCGATGCTGCACTGAATGGTCTCACGGATCCAGAGTTGAAGCTGCATGTCCAGGAACTAAACCAGTTTGCCCAGCGCGCTAGTTCGGTATTGGAGTACTGGCTGAAGCGGCGGGATGGATTAGTTGGCGAAAAAGAGGCTTTCGAGGGTGTCATTGAGAACCTCGTTAGTCATGTTAGGAGAGTCAGAAAGTAGTCTTAGCACTTGGTGTACTATCTAAATGCCCAATATAATATATTTTGTATAATCTAATGCCGATACCAGATAGACTGATATATCTGGAATATATATAAGCAAGTTCTTAGTCTACACTACTGGAGAGGTAAGGCAAGATGATTACCATAACTAGGCTTGATGCGTTTCAGCATGAAGGCTTGGGTTCAATATGTTTTTTTTTTTTTGTTCATTTTTAAGTACAATTTCATCATGTTCGTGATACCTTGAGAAAAAAAAAAAACAAAGAGAAAAAACCGGACGCAGCCATAGAATCCAGTCTCTCCAACGCCAGAAAGGACAGATCATGAGATAACATGGAAGAAATGCGTTTGAAGAGCACGCAATAAGGGGTATCTTTCTTTTCAAATGCATGTAAAGATAAAAAGGTATTTGAAGGCCAGTGCCGTTGGAAGAGGAGAAGAAGAAGGGAAGAACTTCTGTTGGAAACCCCGATGAACTCCTTAATCCAATTCAATGACTGCATGTTCTTGGGTCCGGACGACCGGAGTGTGGCTACCAGGAGACACGTCGATCCTGGGGCGCGTAGCAACAGGGCCCAAAGAGTCCTCAGCCTTGCGTTTTGCAGAGAAGGTGTTGTTGTCTGGGCCGGGCGAGATCTCATCGGTGTCGTACTTGAAGGTCCAGGTTCCATCAACTTTGATTTGGATTGCTCTGATCCCGTTAAGTCGGTTTGTGCGGGTGAGCACGGCGTGGATCTCAGCAAGGAACTGATCGACAACCAAGAATTGCGGGCGTGCATCTCCCTTGCAAATCGGGCAGCGCCAGTTATCGACCATCGGTGTCTGGCCGGATGTGGAATGCCTGGTTCTGATGAAAGTATCACGGTCAAAGCATTCGTGGTGGTTGCAGTGGAGTGACCGGACGGGGACATCGAAGATGCGTGCCATGAAGGGGTCTACTAGGTCGATTGTGAGGTTATCGGTGACAACCGCCAGGTCATCGTCATCGGTAATGGGGCAAAGACGCTTCTTGATTGCCGCGCGAGAGTCGGACGCTGGGACGGACTGGATCAGACTGAGTATCTGATCGAACTCGCTGACCTCCATGTTCTCCAACCCAAAGACGAATTTGGAGGTCTTGCACTCATCCTGTCCTAGGATAATATCGACCCGTACGTTGTTTTCACCTGCTTTGAGGTGCTCGGTGATGTCTAGAGGCAAATCCTTTCCGTTGTGAACCTTTCGGCGCACATAGAGCTCTTTGCCATTAACAGTGATGTAAAAGACACTAGGCCAGAAAGTGGCCGTGGTGGACCAGGTCTGCTCCGTCACAGTATCCGGATTTCCAGGAAGACGAATGCATCGCAGGCGAATAATCCGGCAGCCAGGCCTGAAGGTCCAAACCGAATATTGGGTCTCTTTCCCGTGAGCTATGTGTGGGAATTTTTGGCACTCATTACCCGCGAAAGAGAAATTCCACGTGTAGATCGGCTGGTCAACGTCGACGACGGTTGGGTTGACAATGAAGGTATTGAGATAGGTAAACAACTCAGTCTCAATGTCATTGCCATCTTGACCCTGTTTTATTAGCCTCTTCATGGGGTCACGAAGACCAACCAGATGTAGGCCGAGACGCATTGGGTTTGGAGTCACCATCATGGGTGCTCGGTAGCCAGGGGGCGGGAGGAAGGCAGAGCTAGGTAGAGGCTGGAAATTCTGTCCATGAAGAGGTTGTCCATGAGGAGGTTGTCCATGAGGAGGTTGTCCATGAGGAGGTTGTCCCTGAGGAGGCGCGCGTGTGCTCGGCGCAACAGATGACTGCACTGTCATCGAATTCTGTCGGTTGTGATGATTATTAGGCCTTTGTGGTGGCATCGGGTGATGGGCCATATTGTTTGTTGTAGTTGGGCTTGTGTATATGGGCGATGGAGCGTGGAGTGACTGCGCTGGCTGTGTAGAGGTGAGAGCACTCGATTGGAGTGAAGTGGTGGAAGGGTTAGCAGGCGCTATTGAAGTCGTAGGTGCCAATGTTCGAAGCCGCATTTGCTGACCATGTGAACCTGGTATTGCTCGGTACCTCTGAGAAGGTGCTATCTGTCCAAGCGTTGCCTGCATGTGCATTTGCATCTGTGGATTCATGCGTGGATTCACATGTGAATTCACCGGATACCACGGACCTTGTCCTTGTCCTTGTCCCTGACCTTGTGCTTGGTCCTGTGACATGGTGTTGTAATAATGAGTTTGTGGTGTAGTCTGAATTTGTGAGTTTACGCCAAATTGAGAGGACCCAGCAGCTGGACCAACAACCTGCCCCTGGGGCGAATTTGAAGGGGAATTCTGCAAAGGTGCGCCAAGTGGGCTCTGGGCAGGTGGATTAGTGGCAAGTTGACTGACACCACTGACCGAAGATCTGGGACGGGGTGACGGCACACCTGAGGCGGCTTGAGAGATGGTTTGATTCTGAGGTCTGGGAGGTGGTGCGGAGTGAGAGGAAGATGATGTGTGTGATGGATATTCAGGCAAACGTGGAAATTTGAGATACTCTTGGGTGATACTCCAGTCATGAGCCTGCTGAGTGGTCTCGGGAAGTCCAAAATCCCTACACTGATAGAAACCTTTTAAATCTTTCCAAAACACCTCCAGAAGGGGCTTGACATAATCCTCATGGTGAATGCCCCGTGCAATACACATGAACATCACCGACATCAAAATTGGAGATGGACAAGCCAGCATATACCAAAGATAAGAGACCAACGGGGGATAACGGGCCTGGGCGTAGATGCCCAGCCATCTGGTTGCAAACCGTGATAAAAACACAGGAAGACCGGACAGCACCTGGAGGTACCACTTTTTTGCATCAACTTCTGTGGAGAGTCTGGGAAATGGGCAAACACAAAGGTAGCGGCATCATGCATCTTTTTATTGTCTTCCAGAAGATCCGTGAGTGCTTGCATGCCCGATTCAGGGGCTCCAGTTTGACCCAATGTAGTTGGATCAATGCTATATTGGCAGTACATTTGATGCATCACCAGATAAAAAGCGTCCTTACGACTAATGGCCTGGCGCAATAGGCTAATCCGAGGCCGGATAACATCCCTCTCCCTCGAATGAGCAGGAGGTAATGCTCCCTTTGCAGACAAATACTCTTCCAAGATGTCCAGTTGAGCAGACCATTGTTCCCATGCCCCATTAGGGATGGCTAATTCCTGTGCTCCCCCATTCTGCTGGTTCTGCTGGTTCTGCTGATTCTGCTGATTCTGTTGCGAACTAGGTCGTGATGCCGAGACTGTCTGTTCTTGTGTGCTAGCGCCTGCGAGTAAGTCTGTGACCGAGGGCGAATTCGTGGATTGGTTGGGTCGCGTTAGAGGGGACTGGGTCGCGCGTTGTGACGTGGCGTGCCCGCCGAGAGAAGCCTGTTGGACTGCCATGCGCTCATTATTGCTGCGCTGTACTGTGAGTTGTGTAGAGATTGGTGGCAAGGTGGAGATTCTATTTGAAACGATCGTATCGGGGCTTGCGGGACTTGGGTGAGAATTTGTACTGAGTACGGGTGAGGGAAGTGCCGTCGCTCGCGTATTGGGGTTTTTTGCGGTATGAACAGAACCACGTGAGGGAGGTTGAGTAAGGATCTCACCAGGCGTGACGGGGGACATTAAGACAGGTTCATGGGAAAGAGAGTTGGGAGGAGCTTGAAGGTTAACCTCAACGCGAGGATTTCGCGTAGCCGAGTTCTCCGGAACGTTAGTCTGCGGGCCCATCCAGTTCCTCCGCACGCCGCCTAGAAACAGACTGGCGGTAGTATTGGACTCTTCAATATGATCAGCACTCGTGTGTGATCGTGATTTAGGTGATACCATGACGATCAAGTAAGTGTTGAAACATGATAATGATTCTTGGACTTTATCGAGTTTCTTTAATAAAGGGCGCTTACAACAAACAACGTTTGAATAAAGAACCCTAGACATTGAATTAGCGCCTGGGTACCATAATAGGAATGGTACCGTGCAAAGTGAAAGCATATTAGACGCAGGTACTACACCATATACCTAGGTAGTTACCATAACATTCCTAATCATATATCCCCTAATTAGTGTAATTTAAAAATGAATCCAAGCGATATGAATATGAATAACTATGTAGATCGGTTACATAGACTTGGGCAAGAATGACCGGGTTCATCTGCATATAAGCAGTGTACTTCATACCCATGTACTATGTACGAAAACGGAATACTAAATTCAAGTTATGTTGCTAATTACCATTCAAGCTAGTAATTATAGTAATTGTAATTATTGTACTGTAATTATAATTATAATTATATCCCATGGATGTAAATACCCTTGAACATTGTGCCACCCCTCAGCTCAACATCTCTCTCAACCACGGAAAGTGTCAACCTTGGAAGTCCAGACTTCTTACAATTTACACACGTCACTTTTTTGCCTTTGCTTTTTTGCAATTTTGCGTAAATTTGTGGTATTTGGTTATATCAACTATATTGACTATATCGACTATATCAACTATATTGACTATATTCATTTGGATGTGTGTGTGTGTCTCTGTGTGTTCCACATATCAAGATTCTTGAACATCCTTTGCTTCAATCTGGTATATATCATCTTTGCACAGATATAATCTTCCAAAAAAAAGAAAAGAAAAGAAAGAAAAAAAAAAAAAAAAGGATTCAAGCTACCTCCCCGAGGTCGGGATCCTTCGAGGTTCGTGCTCCCGAGCCCCGCGAGTTGTTTAACCTAATCCTCTCTCTCTAATCTCTCCGGATCTCCCTTTAGATTTCTCACATTCTCTCCCCTTTTCACCCTTCTGCAAAATTACATTACTCCTGTCCCAGAGGGATACGCGATTGCAATTTGCAATTTGCACTCCTCCCCAAAGGGTGCCATGTCTTGAAAGTTTTCGTTTGACTGGAAACACGGAATTTTAAGAGATGGTTACCATGGGCCCACCACAGGGTGTTCATCCTGGTGACATTCTAGATGTTCTTCGTAAGTGACGTCGTGTGCGACACCTCGATTTCTGTGACTCCCGCTTCTCAGGATGCGCCCGACTTCTAACACTCCAACTAGACGAATTTGGCGGGCGCGGAGAAGATGAACTGATCATGTTACCCCGCGACAAGATTGAATTGATCGAGTTGGATGAAGGATTTGGAGATGCCTGGTACTACGGCAAGAACCTTAGGACGGGACAAACTGGTCTCTTCCCTGCGAGTATGTCCACCCTAGGATTCCCTCACCACACACCCCCCGTCTATTTCCTCCAAGCTAATATCTGTGCACAACAGACTTTACCAACGGCTCTCCAAGAAAGACACTCGCTGAGTCGCCAGTACTTGTAGAGTCGCCAGTACAATTGGAACACTCCGCACCCACAGAGTCATCGTTCGCATCAGTCGGGAGTGGGCAGAGCACCCCTCAAGCATCGCGCCACGTTAGCTCCGATATGCAGTCACCGCAAATCGGTTCTCCCACACAGCATCGATCCGCCTCGTCTCCGCTACCTCGCCCAAGCCTCGCGGCCGATATTCAGCAAGCCTTCCGTGGTTCTATGGACGATCACCTGAATGGCGAAGAAAGTCCGGTCATGAATGAGACGTTGAGTGTCATTGACGAGCACATCACGGATATGAACACCCCACGTCACAGCGTGTCGACCCAAGAACCTAGGACGATCAATGATTCCGGCAGCGAGTACAGTAGCCATATTGGCCACAGGGCTTCTTATATCAATGGACATGAAACCGACGACGAGGAGCAGAATCATCCAACCGAGCAAGAGGTGCGGAAATGGAGTCAAACACAGACTTCAAGATGCTTGCGCGGGCTCGGCATTGATCCCAAGCACTGTGACATATTTGAGGAACAAGAGATCACCGGTGATGTGCTTCTTGATATGGATCAAGATTTTATCTTTATGAAGGAATTTGATTTTGGAGTCATGGGCAAACGGCTCAAGACCTGGCACAAGATCAAGGCATTCCAAGAAGAGACTAAAGGTTTCAGTCAACAGCAAGCCACGAGAGATTCCATCTCTTCCAGCTTTTCAGGACCTTCCGATGGACGTGCATTCTCTCGCGCTGGACACACCGGTCCCCTTCTTCCTCGGATCCCGTCCTTATCAGAAAAGACCGGGGCTGGTTATCCACGAGCCTCCGCACCGGTGCAACACCCCCGACTGGCCAGCAACAACAGCTCGCCCATGGCGCCGCATACCCCTCCGTACAGCCATGATTCGCCGAGGAGAATTTCTGCCGCATCGCTCCGTGATCTCAATCAGACGCGTCGGCATTCTTCCATTGACGCCACCCAACGCGGCATGTCGGATTCGGTTTTCGCTGGTCACCATCAGAAGAAACCCTCGTTCGACCGGTCCTGGACTCTGAATTCCGGCCCCCAATCCATGCCCGCTCGCCCAGGAACCTCGGCAGGAACTAGTCCAGGTGGCCTCCAGAGCGGACCGCCTACCGCTGAGTCGGATTCTTACACCAACTCTTATATCAGCACCCCGGATCAGATTGAGGACCTAGATCGGGGTTATTTCTCGGGAACCGAGGTTGACTCGCGGCGAAGCCGCCGGGTTCTTCAGAAACGGGGGTCCGCCGGTGTCGGCTTAAACAATCACTCGCGAAAGTCAAGCTATGCGGAAGAGCCATATAAAGCGATATCCCCGACGAAGCGCCACTCTCGCATTGGCAGTATGGACTCGATCCGTGACGCAGCAAAGCATGTCTCCACCGCAGCGCAGACTTATCACGGCACGCCACCGAAGAGTCGGCTGCGGAGCTTGAGCACGCGAGTTTCAATGGATCGGAGTGGGAACGCTCAATCGTCAACCACCGAGAGCAAAACCAGTAACGGTGGTGGATTCTTCGCCAACTTCTCTCGCGGCAAAGGTGATTCGGAAAGCTCCTCTTCTCGCGCTTCGCCGTTGCAATTCCAGCCGCTGAAGAATGCTGGGCCCAAGTTCCGCCGAGCCATGGGCCTTCGTGCCATATCCGACGTTGTTGGAAAGAAGATTGACACCTCGGTGTCGCCTGACTCGCCGCGGGAGTCTGATCCCACCTCTGCTCGCACCGGATCCACAACTCCATCGGCGACGTCCAAGAGCTCGGAACGGCATAGTACAGATGGGTCTGGTAAGGCCGCCACGGACGGACAAGGATTCGTAGTCCGTCCTCGGACCGTCAAGTCCAAAAAGGAGACTAGTGCCTATATTCGAGGTCTTGAAAAGAAGTCACCACAGGAGCAGATGGATGGCTGTGATTATAGTGGATGGATGAAGAAGAGATCCTCCAACTTGATGACCACCTGGAAGCCCCGTCTGTTCATCCTGCGCGGTCGTCGTCTGTCTTATTACTATTCCGAGGACGACACCGAGGAAAGAGGCTTGATCGACATTACCGCTCACCGTGTCCTGCGAGCGGATCAAGATCCGATTATCGCTCTACACGCAACCATCACTGGCTCCACCGCGTTGCCAGCCAATGCCAATAACACCGTGGAGAGCTCTGGTGGCACGAAGCTCACCACTCCCTCGGTCATTCAATCTCTGACCTCCAAGGACGGCAGTGGGCCGTTCTTCTTCAAGCTGGTGCCCCCAAAGACAGGCAACTCACGCACCGTGCAGTTCACAAAACCGGCCACTCACTACTTCCAGGTCGACAATGTCCAGCAGGGTCGTCTGTGGATGGCAGCGTTGATGAAAGCGACCATCGAACGTGATCTCGGACAGGCAGTGGAATCTAGCAACAAGCAAAAGACCATTAGTCTGAAACAAGCCCGGCTGATGAACCAGCGGCCGCCGGAGCTGATGCCCGCTTCGGGCAGCACCAAGACCGAGCAGACCATCGACGAGGAAGAGGAAGAGACGGGTCTCGAAATCCAGGGCTTGAACCTCAGCCAGTCTGATGCCAACTCGTTCGAGGACACGAACAGCAGTGACATTAATAGCACAAATGAAGGCCTCGAACGACCTCTATCTAACCCCCTTGGAGAGTTGGACAATGGCCACTCGTCCTTGCTTCCGGATCCTCTGGCGAAGACTGAATCTAAGTGAATATTCATTGGGTCCTTATTTATTTGTGTGTGACCTTGCTTGAAATTATGCGAAGGATATCTTTTTGGCCATTTTTGTTTTCATTCTTTTTGCTGGCGTTTGATGTGATATACCCCTCGCTCAGACTTCTTCCCTTTGTTGACTCGGGCCAATTTTGTCATTGCAGGTACGTTTGGTCGCCAGGGGGCTTTATGTGGGAGTATGTGATTAACTTGCTTATGGACACGAAGTTTACTGGACCCAAGCATTCTTCCCTATACTAATTGAGTCTGCAAATGTAGATAATATAATAATTCACATAACCATAGCTGTTTACTTCTACTGATCACTATGGTTGTTCTCACCGCCACATCTACCGCCAACATTATCACGGGCAGTATATGGCCACCTAACTAGTTATATATTGTGTAACTATACAACCTTGGAGCTTAACTATGTATTTGAAATATTTCCTCGTCGTAGGATCATCATACTTGGTAGATTTCTTATCATGACTCGACTCTAGTTTGTCTTTTTCCTTGGGTAGTTCGATCCTATAGCCGGTGTTACTATATGCGCGCTAACTATCTTTAATTCTCAATTAGCGATGTCCGCACCTTTGTTTCTTTCTCCTTTCCACCATTCAAGACAATTCTTTTCAATATGATGTATAGGTCTTTATAACATTTATCCTTCTTCTGTCATTTTAGATCCCTCATGTCCCTCCGCTGGCTACTCTCCCGCACCTTTGCGCTCCTTCTTCCACTCACAGTGACCGCCACTGTTTACCTCTATCTCTACCCAG